AACAGAGGCAAATAGAAGAAAATAATAAACCGAAATTGGATTTAGATTCCGATGCGAGAAGCGGAATCTTACCTCGGCGAAAGATGCGGACCAGAGAGTAGGAGCGATTTCAACGAGAGAGAGAGAGAGAGAGAGAAGGCGAAAGAGATATGAAAGGATGAGCAGATGGGAGGGTTTCGATTGGTTTATATAGGCGATTACGAGGCCACGACTCACCGGACGGCGAACTTCTCGGCCGCCGTATAAAAACTTTTTACCCTTTTAACCCCCAACAAATATGATATTATTTCTCTTCAGTCTCGACCTAAAAGAATTCATAAATCATACTTTCATTATATCGTAGGAGCACATTTGTATTTACATAATTACCCCTGTAAGGACTCAGGCTCGAAATCACATCAGTGGGTGATCGTCCATTTTTACCCTTGAGATGGCATACTATTTCGTCCGATGAATTGAACCGGCGATCTGACTATCTTATAAGGGTCTTATTGTAATTTAACGATGAATAAGCGAACCCTAAAGACGGTGAGGCTGAGGATCAGCTAATCTTCGGCTTACTGCTACACGTGTCAACGATTAGGGCTTGGGAGAAGCACGTGCGCCAAGCGATGCGCACGTGCCTATACGGTTGTGTTTTTTTCGCGATTTGTTACTATTTGCCTGCAAAACGAAATAATTGTTTTCGATACTTAGATATTATCATATTATTTGTTTGCAAAATGAAATAGTTGTTTTCAAGTAAATAGTACATTTATAAAAATATCATAATTTAGGTAGTCTTTGGGTATTTCTTTTAATATAACATTGACACTCAACCTTACCACATGATGGAAATGAATAGCATACAATTTAAATAATGGTAGAGGGGGTTTATATGAAGATAGGTCAAGCAAAGCATTTTTTTCAAAATGATTTTTTTTAAAATACGAGTAAAATGTGATCAATTACGAGTAGAATTATCATTTCATTCGAGCTAAATTTTTTTAATTAAAAAATAATAAATTTTCAAACCATTATATGTCAAGTGATTATTAAAGAGAGGTATGTCTTAAACAAGAATGATATTTCAGTCATAACAAAAAGATGTATAATTAGTTCATTGGATAAGAAAAAAAATTTTGTGAAGGCTGACAAATTGAAAACCACAAGGAATTGCATAGACGTCAATTTCAAGTCCGTCTCGATTCGACCAATCTTCTCTTAGCTCAAACTCAAGCTTGAGCTTGAGTCAAGCTTGCCAATAAAGCAACTCGGCAACCTAAATCAAACTCAACGAGGAGCTTGTCGGGCTCCACAATGCTGGTGATGAAAAGTAATTTATTAAAATGTCAGTTTCACTTTTATTTATTAAGGTATTCCTATAGTTAATGGCATGAAGACCCATTGAAACTTTGAATATATATTAAGCATATTTTTTATGAGTTCATAGGTGGAGTTAGGATTGTCCAACGCTTATAGAAAAGGGGGCTATTTTAAACAAAATAATGTTCAAATTGTAAGAAAAATCTAAAAAAGCTAGAATAAATTATTATAGGTGATCAAGATGTTCATATGCCCGGATGATCAAACGGCTTATGTAAAATATGCAACTGCGGGAAATCAAGATAAATCATTCATACCCTGGGTGAAGGAGAATGGACCAAATAACTCAAGCAATATTGTGTAATTATGGGTGATCATGAGAACTTACCTTGACAATTTTGTATGTTTGTATATTTCAATATGGTCATTATCCTATATGAAGGGGTAATTTGAATGAATCATGCAATAGCAATGAGCATAAGCAAATATGATTAGTAATGAGCATCACATAGTTTAATCACAAAATGATATATATTTAAAATCAAAACTAATCAACCCTAAAATTAGACAAACTAAACAAAATCAAAAAAATAGGTTTGATTAATTGTTGAGTTAGTTTATCATCTTACTCTAAATTAATAGATCATTAAATTATTTTAAATATTTTGAAAAAGTGAGTCATTGAATTGTGAGAATACCACCTAAACTAATTAGACTATTTCTATATAATATATATTAATAATATGATCCATAAGTATGTAATTATGATTGATTAATTTAGCTTGGTTTATTTTAGTTTTACAAAATTGCAAATATGAACTAGAGCAAATAATTCAAGTTAGATAAATTAAAAAAAAAAAAAACCAAGCCAAATTAAAGCGATCCAAATTAACTAATTAGGTTTAAATTTTTTTAAAGCATTATTTGTAGGTTTGGTCAAGGCATCCCCTCCTTTAAATAAAAGAGAATATATTGAATGATATGAACAATAACATCTACTATAAGTGAACAAAATAGAGTGAGAAAGATTAGCAAACACTAAAGTAGCTAAATGCCAAAGTTTTTAAATTTTTTATGATATATAAATTACCCCTCTATAAACGAAGAAGGATTATGATTTATTTATAGATTTTAAAAGGTTTGTCTTAATCATTATCTTGAATTAAATCCAAAATCTTCTATTCAAAATAGATTAAAAAAATAAAAATACATAATTTTTATTTAGAATAGATTGGGGAGAGAAATGAAAAAAGATAAATTTATATTCATAAAAATATGAATATACCATAAAATATCTCTACTAATAGTAAAATGAGTGAATGATCTCATGCAAGGGTTGGCTCAATTAACTCTACAAATTAAGAGTGGGGTAGGATAGTTTCTTTGTGGCTAATAGTTGTAAAGAGGTGGTATCTACCACCTATGAAGTCGTCTAAAATATCATTTTGAAGCTCTTGACGACATTCAATCAACAAATGATGGATCTTGATATCAGCTAAGGATTGTTTTGAAAAAAATTCTATTGAGGTATAAATACCATAACTAAGGTAGTAATTGCCCAAGTTGTGAATCGTAGCAACAATATAAAGTTGGATGATGTGTAAGAAGCAAATAATATGACATGGGTTCCATTAAGCAAGTGTTAACAGGATTTGAACAGTTTAATTAATAGAGGGTATATGTCAGGTTGATAAAATGTTTGCTACCATATACTAATTCCCACTAAATGATGGATTTCACTAGTAATGATCCTAAATGTTGACAATGGGTAAATATTGTGAAAATTCATTGCAAGGGATCAAAAGTTCATTGAAATGTGGGAACATATTCATTCATGAGAATGTAATTTATTGGCCATAGGTAAGAGTTGTTAGGTGAGAAGGAAAAAGCTACAAAGTTAGTGACAAGTAACTAGAAACTAACATTGATCAATCAAATTTGGTTAATTATACAAGGTAAATTGTTTTGACATGTGTATTTTCGATGACTAACAAATTAAATATGTAATTTATTTAAGTGTTATGTGAGTCAAAATTTTACTTTTTTTTTCTCTTCAAATCTTCGCTCCACGACACTCAGAATGCAAGGCTTTCGCTATCTCTTTTTCTTTATACTTTTTTTAAAATTTCTTTTGTTTAGCTGATCTTCTTGATTTTGTGATTATATTTCCTATTTAGCTTGTCACTTTCTTGATCAAGCTCCTGTGCTCGTTTCCTCTAATCTCTCATTGCCTTTTTCTCCCACTTGCTTGTCGCCTTCATGCACACCTCATTGCTTTATTTAAGAGCAAGCAAGGGCCAGGGCATCACAATTTTCTCTTGCTCTAACTACATATCCTTTTAGCTCTCCCTCTTGACCAATCCACATTAACCTATTGAAAGGCAGAAGATCAAAACCCCTTACATTTTAAACATCTGCTCATCTCATTCTCTAATCGAGAATAAGACTCATTCTTCTCATTCTTAATCATCTCATCAAGTTAGTTGCAAGCCTCTTCCTCTTCCCTTTTTCCTTTTAATATAAATTATTACTTTGTGAATAACCTTATAAATATATATATATATATA